TGGTGGTGGTTGTCTGCGTCTGGACGGGTATGTCGGGCGACTGGGTGTGTATGATGTCATACCAGCACCGGTCGCTGGCAGTGCCCTCGAGTTCACACGAGTAGTACTTCTCGAAATAGCTCTGATGTCCGTGAAATAGGCCGTCCGATAGGGTCGAGGCCTCGGATCCGCACTTTTGTTTGACGTCGTTTCGACTGCAGTCGCGAAACTTTCGCCACAAACTAAGTCAATGAGTAATTTGATATGAATACCAAGGATATTTTGTATTTTTATTGTACCGAGTTATAATTATTATATTGTATGTAAGCAATTAGGCATAAAAAGACTGTAACTTATAATAATTATTTTTAGTGAAATCTATAAATTAGTTTGTTTAATTTAATCTTGGTATATAATATAATGATTATATAATTGATGCTTGATGAGTGAATGATTTACCCTATAATTTTGAGCAATATTTTATTAACTGTTATGTAAACTAAGAACTGTAACTAATATTATATAAATTTAATTAGGGTTTAGTAGAGTTTAATAATATATTAGTTAAGGCAATTTGTAAAAATATCTGGGATATAATTTATTTTTACTTTTTTGTTTACAGTAAAACTGTAATTTATAAGAAATATTTTAAAATACTATTATAACACAGCTGTTTGATTTAATCTTGGCCATAATTATTATTGTAAATTAAGCTAACTACTGTCGTTATTTTTAATTTAGCAAATATTATTATTAAATTAAGTAATCTATCATCAAAAATTGATTTAAATATTTTTAATACCATTTAAACAGTTTTGTTAGTTTTAACACTGGCCATTTCTTGCCCTGAATAAATACTAATCTAATCTAATCTATACAGTTACCAATCTAAAATTGTATTTATATATTGATGAATATTTTTTAAATAATGAAATTTAAAATTATCATAATTATTTAATAACATAATCGTCCAAACTTTGTAGTTTTAAACTGTAAAATATATTAAATATGTTTTCTAACAGGTATAAATATTTTTTTGTATTAAAATATTTTTTTGTGTTAAAATATTGGATATTGTTTGATTTAAGTTGGACTTAAGTTTACTCGCTTAATTTTAAAATCTGAAAAAATAAGATTCTGGATATGGTCTACTTTTCCCTATAATACTAATGTTTGGACAATATATGAGATATAAAACATATTTTCTAAACTGATTTCATAAATATTTTTGGTATTTCACACGATATCTACTTTTCCCTCTAAACTTGAAACTAAGTTTTCATTTCACGATAACTCTATTAAATATAACATTGAAATAATGGACTCATTTGTACTATACATGAATTCCCACAAACATTCACTTTCAATTGTTTTTGTTTTTTGTATAAATTAAAACTTAGAGTATAAAGTATTGCACTAGACGAAAAATATATGTTCATACTCCCCGCGGCCATAACTTATTATGAACGGATGTTCACCACAACTATAAGAACCTCCAGTCCCTCATATTCTTAATCGGTTTATCATAATTGACATCACATTTCCAGTTACGAGCGTTAAGTACACCACTAATACACTCCTCGTGTCGTATGAAACCTATGATACAAATGTGTATATTTCGACATCAATTTATTGGCGACAAAAAAATAACATTTATTTCAAAAGTGATAATCAGTCGATTTATTAAAAAGTAATACAAATAACTCTCTCTCTCTCTCTCTCTCTCTCTTTCTTTCTTTCTTTCTCTCTCTCCTCTCTCTCTCTCTCTCTCTCTCTCTCCAGACATATGCCCCACTCTTAAGTTTCTACGCCTAATATAAACACAAAATGTGTTTTTGAAAAGTATTTGTCTGTTTCGTGCAGACCATGGATGACACAAACCTTGACTTAAGTCATGACTGGTGTTGAGACACAAGTGATGAAAGAAAGTCGGTTTCCAATTGAATCGGTTGATCCTCATCTTCAGTTTCCTCGACTCACAAACATATTGCTTGAAATTAGGGTCAGAAGCGCACACACCTTCCGCACCGGTAATACAAGCCACGAACTTTGAGTAAATGCCATTTGAGGGGCTGGTAGCCGAAAAGTGAAACACAAATATTATTGCATAAGATTTGCCGTTTTTTGAAAGGAAAGTATGTTTTCGTAGGGAATTACTGGCAAATATCGTTGAATTGGTTGTCAGGGTTAGAGAACTGGTGCTTCTTATGGACCTCTAAATCGGTGGCGAATTTGTTGAGACATTGATTGACTTCTTGAGCGCATTGGCTGAGTATTAGTGGTATGAGTGCTATGTTTTTGGTGATAATTGCGATTATAATAAAAGTTTTGAATTTATTTTCTCGGATAATACTTACAGAAAATTAAAACAATTATAAATTGAGCGTAACTTTGAGCCAACATTTTGTACATTCAGTTGTTATTCACTTTTATTCCGTAAATATATCTATAAATTTGAGAAAATATTTTTTTTAGTATAATCAATAGCTTGTATTTTTTTTATCAATATGTTTTATAAGCCAAGAAAATATTTTGAAACATTTATGACATTAATCTAATATGATTTTCATACATCATGAAAAAATATTTATTATTATTATTAGATGAGTGCTAATGATAGGGGGAGAGCACAGGGAGTTGTGAATAAATCAAGTGCCCTGAATACTTAATACTTTGTATTCTTATTATTATTTATGACATCCTGTGCCACAGATTACAAACTCCAGTTCCACTATTGCAACGATTCTCGATTAAAATAAACAGGAATTGCATGGATTCCCATCAAAACCAGTGTTTAATAACGTTATGTTTAATATGACGTTCAGTATTACAAACACTTTGCAAACATTTTCAAACTAATTGTATGATTGAATAAGTAGTATAAAAAAAATTATATCACAATTCAATATCCTTTGCGCTCACAATATATGAGTCAAACGTTTTTATACACACGTTATATAAGAATCAAATAAATATAATACAAGTGATATGACTTTCCCCTTAAAATTGATGGACAGATTAGGGGGCGACTGAGCTTCTGGTGCTTTTTGGTCCATCAGTTGACTGCCTTTCAACACATGTATCGCAAAGTCTTCTCAGAATATAACTTATGTACCAATCGTTGGCTCAAGAGTTTCACAGAATGTTGTAATTAGTAGTATAGAGAATACCAGTCCCTCTATAGCTATCACTGCATGGCATCGACACTCTCTTGTAGTAGTTTTTCAAACTTAGAGGAACTGTAAGTAATTTAATATAATTTCCTGTGCGTTATTGCCCCCTAAACTAAACCGACACATTTGCCATACGAATGGTTTAAGTATGAAATAAAGACTTTTTCTGTAAAACTACAATACAATCATTTGTTATAATATATGCCATTCCCTGTAATTGCAATGAATTTGCAAAAGTGACAAAATATGACATATTTAGACAAATATTAAGATTTATGATACATTTAAATCGTATTAACTCATAGAGTGCTATCAATTGATTTAAATACCATTAATAATCTCATTATAAACATCATAATAATTATTCAAACTTTCAATACAAGGCTTTCCGTATTTTTTTTAGTAAAAACTAAGTTTTTTATAAAGTTTTTAATGGAAAATATTTGTGCACTACATATGCGGTCAAAGGTTTCATAAATGAAAAAAAGGTTGCGATAGTAAAAGTAATTTAGAAAATTTGTTTATATATTTATAGTTATAATTTACACAGTAATATACAGGAATTGATTATATGTTATTTGTTTATGATGGCAAAAACATTAATTCTTAGCCGTAATGAAAATATTAGGCGAAACATAATATTTTTGTTATGAAATTAATAGTTTTTATACGCTAGTAATTTCTATACTTAAATAAACAGATTATTTTGTTTTTTGTTGATAACATTCGGCAATCATATACTCAAATGTTTGGGAATTTAGAAAAGTTTTGTGAAAATAAAAATGCTTTTCAACACAAAATAATAAACTTTACACTCATTTTCAAAAAGATAATAAAGTGCTAAAAGTGTTATGAAATCACGTGGATTAGATTTACGTGTTATTCAAGTAATTAGAGTATTAAGTTATATAAGTTGTAAATAAAGTTAAAAGTAATTTGAGATAACAAAAAATTAACACATAATTAAGCTTACTGTATGTATAATTTATAAAAATATTATGAGGGTATTATTCTATACTAACAAAACATGTTTTTATAATTTAATAAATCATACAAAATAGACATTAATCGCGAGTTCATTATACTGTAAAACAATACAATAAACTCCAGACAAAGCATAATATCAAGAATAATGAGAATTATATTAAATATCAGAAAACATATCAAATTAACAAAACATATCAAGAATATTCAGTATATAATTAATGATAGCAACAAACCGAGAAAAATCAACAAAATAACAGCAAAAAAAAGTTAAACAAAACCTGAATATAAATATTAGCCGGGTGTTTTCTGTGTTATCATCAGTGGTGGTGTGAAACACTCGAAGATATATGTAACTACAAGATACCGGCGCCCAATATATATATATATAAGGGATTACCGCATGTAATGTATGACTGTTTGCCAGAATATATTAGCTAATAATCTGCGGTACAAATCACACACAGGAGTAGTAGTTGTATATTAGTTGCTGGTTATGGATATCAGTGTTGGAGGAACTGGTGGTGGTGTATGTGCTCTCACTCTCTCTGTATGTGTCTCTCTCGAGAGGGCTCAAGAAGTTTTAGGGCAGTGCGCGGCGCTGTGGAGGTACTTCTCAGCACTGGTATGTTTCTGTGAGTGAGTGAGTTGTATGTGTAATGAACAGCGAGAATGACTGAACAAAACACGGCTTTAAGAATATGTGTATCACTACTATAACTACAGTACAGGCCATACATACTAACCGCAGTCATACACACAAACACATGCCGGCGACCGGGGAAGGGGGTCGCCAATCACTATAACACATGTGAGGGCACCAGTACTCCGTGTAATGTGAGACGACACTCACTGAATCATTATCGGACAGACCATTAAAAATAATAATTTCCAGAATTATAGTCATTTATTCTTTAGAGATATTCTTAAGTTTTTTAAGCATTAATCGAGAAATTTCGAGGCATTAGAGGTATTAATGCATAAAACTGTTTCAAATTTAATGTGTTTTGTGTTTCGGAATCGATTCTATGCGCTCCCATAGTATGGTTACCCCTCACGGGTGAAGTAAAAGTAAAAGTTTTATGTTATTTAGAAATAGTTATATTATATATACAATAAACATGACGTGAGGCCTAAATAGTATCCCAGATATACATACTGTATATTATTCTCTCTCTCTCTCTCTCTCTCTCTCTCTCTCTCTCTCTCGGAAAACTTTTTGACGGAAAAGTTGAGTCCATATTATGATCCATTGATAGATGGCATGCAGATGGAGAAAAACTTTGCCTCCCTTTCCACCGCAACTACCTCTCCATAGCTAATATCACAAACTTATCTCCTCCTCCCTTTCCCTCATAGAAAAAACATGCAATCAATTGATGTATTTGTATGGCTATCAGCTAATTCGACAGCAAAAAAAGTATAGATTATATTTTGAACAGCAATTCATTCATTAAAGAAAAACAGACGCGAAATATGCTTTTTTAAGGGATAAATATCGGGGTGAAAAATGTTGGGGTAAAATGTTTTCGCTTGGTTTTAATACTCGCATATATTTATAGCTCACTCTTTATAGTAAACATCATATTTAAGGGCAATATCTTGTGTTTTATATTGTATTCCTAGCGTTCAGTGAGATATACGAGTGTTTAGTGTATGGGAGAGAATCGGAGAGAGAATAAGTTTTTCCTGTTTTTTGCTATACTCTCTCACTATTACAAACTCTATCTCTCTCTCACTCTACTACTCACACACACACAGATCTCCCTTTCCCTCCCATTCCCTATCAATTCACTCGTAAGTGTTTAGAGTGAGAGTGAGTGAGTGATAGAAGTGCTGAGAGAATCTCGTAAATTGTTTAGAAATGTATTTTTAACTCCAAAGCTATCGCCAGCAGAAAAAAGTTTAATATATTGTTTGCCTATTAAATAAACACTTGTTTTTTGCTGTGTTTTACATAATTGGTTGTGGTTTTTGTGTGTATAAGTATTTTTGCAATTTGGCATTAATTGCATAAACAATCCTATGGTCAAACACCAGGTGCTGCCCCAGACATGAGTCACAAGAAATTGATTGCATTTATAATTATAATAAATTATTTTCAAATCAAATTCATCGACGCTTTCGTTGATTTAAATTCCGCACAGAATAGTAATAACAACTCCGGAATCATCGTCAGGAATGTGTTTGTGAACACCAACTATAAGCTGACCTGGATCAATTTCACGACCAGTGCTAATGACACTGGCCCTGATGGTAGCGATGGTGGTGTGGCTCAGCTGGAAGTGTCATTACCTCCGCAGCTGCGACACCGACAGCAACAATCGCTTCCCACCCGTATTAGGCTGGAAGTGGTGGGCAGTGCCGCCAGTGTCCGCATCCGAGATGCCGGTGCGATGCACCAGGGCTTCTACAGTGCCTACAAAGTGCTCACTCACCCCAATAGTAGTGACCAATATGTGGCCGATCGCAAGGATTTCTATATTTATATCAAAGGTTTGGCTGAATGTTGCGCTCATTTAACACCACTTTATGTGTGAAAACAGTTTTTTTCCAATAGTTATGCAAAACTTATGCAAAAAATCTGTTAAAACTACTTAAAAGTTTAGAAAAAATTGTTGTTAACTGTCATAGACTAGAGGACAGACACACACAGTATTATAAATCACTATCCATTATAGTTAAGGTCATCATACAGTGTACTGTATATAAAGTTTTTGCCATTATAATAAACATTCATCACATGCATTGGTAAACAATCGATTGATTTACTAATGCATTGATTTTGTCTGTTCAGAGCCTAACAAATCAAATAAATGTGAAGTTTTCAGTGATTTGACTGTTATTTTCGTTACACTCGGTGTATGGGTGCCCTAAACATAAGATAAACAATTTTTAATGCTTTCTATTCATTAATTATTATAATGATTGGGAGGGCCACATAGGGATGCCTATTATACAGTAACGTGCTATTGTTAAATCATATACACTATTATAACTTATTGAGTTTTACTATAATTTATAATTAGTTAACGATTTTTAAGCTTTTAGTAATTTATTATTATTTAAATATAACTGTAAAGTGAGAATAAATTGCAATAATTTTCAAGTGTATGCACTTTTGGCCCCCAATTGTGTGCAGCACTTGACTGAGTTTACAAATGAAACAAGGTTCATTATCCAACACAGAATTTAGCGCACGTTACTAGTTATGTGTTATTCCGTACACTTTGTATTTGCGTTATAAACTGATTAATTGTTTATCAAATATCTTATGAATTGTGTATTTCGTGTGAATTACAGGTCTGGGCGACGAAAACGACGGGTGCTCTGAGAACAGCACCTGTATTAGCCAGCATTGCCTGTACGGGCGATGTGTATGCAATGGAGACAAACCCGTTCTCAATGACCATAAATGCCACTCCGGTTAGTGTTTGCGGTTTACCTCACCATCTTATACACCCGTTCCCCTTATATAACACATACCGCATAAGACATACATATTTTGCATAATACCACTAATGGTGTGATTGAGTAAAACAATTAACCGCTTGAATGCTATTGTGTTTTATACGACAGCCCAACCCATTGGTAGCAAATGTTTGCACTCAAGTCAGTGTCAATGGATCGCCGGCCCCAACGCTCACTGCAATTACAAAGGAAAGTGTCGGTGCGCGCGGAACGCCATTCCCATACAAATACCGATTTATGGCAAATATTGCATCGAACCGAGTATTCAATCACTTTTTTTGCTCATATATTTTGTTTGCTAAATATTTTTGTGTGTGTTTAACATTATGTACAAAAAGTGTTTTTAGCATTTAATTTATGTTTGCTATAAAAATCAATTTGCAAAATCTGTTAATTTATGAGCCGTTAAGCGCTTATAATAGTAGCACTAATGCTGTATATTAGTGAATGATATTAAGTTTTTTATATATGCTTACTTGTTAATAATATTTATGAAATTACATTTAGTTTTTTGCTGTTTCTATTAATTATAAATTAAATGACATTTTAATGTTACCTTCAAATTGAATGCCATAACTAATCAACGTTTCTCTGCTTTAACTCAAAAAGCATTTCTGAATTCAAGAGTTTTATGCGAACCCTCTGTTTGCTATAAAATAGCAAAAAATAAAAAAATTATTTACTCATAACATAATCACACGATTATAATGATTATAATGAATTCAATTGATAGCTAGAAAAAATAAATAAAATATTAGTTTTTGTTTTATTATTAATTACATGATTTTATTCCCATACAGCCGTACAGTTATGCCTGGCTGAGATTACTGATGATATTTAATTAGCGATTGGGGAATATTATATATGGTGGCGTAATATTAGTTGCAAATTATTTATTATAAGCATTTTTTCCACACATTTATTATCAAACTTTATTATTCGCTCATAAATTTGCCACAAACTCAGGCCTATATTATACACTTTGAGTGAATGTCTAATATAACGATAGCCAGGGCAGTTTATGAGTTTACTTAACTACCATGTGATATAAGAATGCGAAATATTACATAAACTGTGTGCCTAGATAATCTTACTGGTTATCCCTGTATTATATTCAGCGCAAAGTATTTTACCCTTAATTTATTGCTATTGTATTCCTAAACCGCATTAATTGGTGTTAATTATTGTGATTAAAAAACTTTTGCTTATATTTCTCTCAGACATTTGATAATCAAATTTTATTTTGTTTGCGTGAAGTGTTTGTCAAACATTACTTTCAATCATATGAATTGCCACACATTTTACAAACTCCATATATGTTTGAAAATTATTTATTAAAATTTTTTGTGAAAATATTTGCAGAGGTTTTCAACGATAGCTGCATTTACTCGGAAGAGTGTCTATTGATTGGCACTAATCGGTACTGTAATGAGCAGTTCAAGTGTCAGTGCCATCCCGGCTATCACTACCATATGGGCGTCGGGTGTATAAATAGGCCATACAATCACGTATCACCACTACAGCCGTCCACCACTTTTATCTGGCTAATACTGGTATTCACGTTCGTGGCAACTATATTATGACAATGTTTTTAAAATGCAGCTAGCTGCTGAATATCATTACAAATTTTTATGTATAAATATATTGTATATTAATATATACATGGAGTTTACTGTATGAATCAAATCATATCACAAATAATGCCTTTTTTGTTAAGTTTTTTTGTCTCTCTATTTAGTGTTTAGTTATAATATATAATATTGTTGAGTATTTTTGAAATATAGAAAATAAATTTTTAGTTTAATTTGAATGATATACCAATATTTATCATTTGATTAAATACAAATATTTATACACATGTTATATTGAATTTTTGATATTAATTTTTATTTGCGATAAACTCTATACACGACAAACTTGTTAATGACATGATTTTTCTCAAAAATTATAATCTCAACACAATATTTGAAAAAACATTCAATATAAAATATCCACATAAAAATTAATTTAAAAAACAAATCAATAAAGACTTCAATAAAAATTAAAATATTTGGTATAACATTAAAAGCCATCATAAATATATTCACAAAAATCTTCACAAAATGTAATTCAAAAACAATTAAACTTAAAAATGAGTTAAATTTGGTATAATAATAATAATTTACAAGCATTTTCTCTTAGGATCATTCAATAAGTAAGTACTCCAGGGGGAGGGGGAGGGGTGGATATTAAATCCTATGTACGAGGGGGATTAAGTAGGGGATGGGACAATTTTTGGGGTTAATTATGGCGTACCTACCAATTGAATAACCCCCTAAGACCTCATAATCTGTCATTAATCTCATAGCAGATTACAAACAGACTTTTGTGGATTCATTTTCTGGACTTTCTTGGACTTGAGGGCCGCCTCGATGGCCATATCAAACACCTGGACTATGCCCTCATTATGTCTGGAGGAGCACTCGCAGTACCCATAGGCGCCCATATCCTCGGCCGCGTTGCATAGCTTTGGAGTTAAAAATACATTTCTAAACAATTTACGAGATTCTCTCAGCACTTCTATCACTCACTCACTCTCACTCTAAACACTTACGAGTGAATTGATAGGGAATGGGAGGGAAAGGGAGATCTCTCTCTGTGTGTGTGTGAGTGAGTAGTAGAGAGAGAGAGAGAGAGAGAGAGATAGAGTTTGTAATAGTGAGAGAGTATAGCAAAAAACAGGAAAAACTTATTCTCTCTCCGATTCTCTCTCCCATACACTAAACACTCGTATATCTCACTGAACGCTAGGAATACAATATAAAACACAAGAGATTGCCCTTAAATATGATGTTTACTATAAAGAGTGAGCTATAAATATATGCGAGTATTAAAACCAAGCGAAAACATTTTACCCCAACATTTTTCACTCCGATATTTATCCCTTAAAAAAGCATATTTCGCGTCTGTTTTTCTTTAATGAATGAATTGCTGTTCAAAATATAATCTATACTTTTTTTTGCTGTCGAATTAGCTGATAGCCATACAAATACATCAATTGATTGCATGTTTTTTCTATGAGGGAAAGGGAGGAGGAGATAAGTTTGTGATATTAGCTATGGAGAGGTAGTTGCGGTGGAA